TTAGGAATTTTGCAAATTAAGGCAAAAAAATCTTTAAAAAATGTTTAATGTAATATTAATAATTAATTTGTATATTAATCTTCTAACTTTACGGACTACAAAATCATTTATACGTGTTTTGTAATCAAATAATTTTAATATTTAAGATTTGACAAATATAATGGTAAATCTATTCAATCTATCTTGTAGCAATGATAATTTTAGATAGAATTTAAGCCATTTGAAATTTAAAAAAATTCTTTCAATAATAGAAACCATTAAAGATATTATTAATAATATTTTATAAATAAAGGATTCATTTAGAAAAAATTCTAATCCTTTAATATAATTTAATACTTATATGCAATTGCTAATTTCTTCTTTTTAACACTTTTCTTAAAAAATTTAATTTTGAAAATAAATTTTAAAAATATTCAAGGTTTAATACAATATTTTTTAAATTGGTCCTTACCCAAAATTTTAAAATTTTTGAATTCAAATATATAAAAAGCTAAAACTGATTTCATATGGTAAAAATTGGTTAAATCAAGTATCAACAGAACAAATGAATTTATCTTTGATATATATAAAAAAAATATCTAATACAAAATTAGCAGTTAATAACATTTCTATCACAATTTCAATTTCTATGAATTATTTGTTTTTTTTACAAAACTTAGACTCTATATCCATTTTAATACCTTTTATTTTAGAATCCAAAGCTAATGTAAAACTATTTTCATTATAATTTTTTAAATAAGCAATAAGATCTCTTAAAATGATCTATAGCAATATCTATATGTTTATCTTTTAACTATAAAATCCTACTAAGAAAATTAATACCAAACAAAATATCACACCAAATATTTATTCTTAATAAAAATTACAATTTTTTAGTCCCACAAGTTGCTAAACGCACGATTTCACTTCTTTAAATTTAGGATCTTCACAATATTTTTATAATTGAATCAAAGCAAATCTTATCTTTGGTGCTTAAAATTTTATTGCTTTCGCACTTTCAAATTTTAATTATACTTTCCCATCAATTTTGAGATAATGATTTAATATAAGTTTCACATTTTTTTATCTTGCAAAACTTTCCATTGCTTGGTGAATGAAGCAATAAAGAATAAATACGTTATGAAACTCAAAAGAAAAAAAGAAAAAAATTTCAAACATGAATTAATCATATGACATGAAAGCTAAATTCAAATTTTGGAACATACAATATGTATAAAATACTCCAAGATTTATATCTATTAATATTTTTTGCACTCCTTGAATTTTACCATTCTTGTTAGATTGATTATCATGACCTTGTTTCTTCTTTTCTTTTTTTGTTTTAAGGCTAAACGCTCAAACTAAAAATCATGAAAAATATCCACTAATAAAGTTATTTGAATCCTAGTTGGGGAGAACTAAAAATTGAGATACCCTCTAACAAACTCAAACCCGTCTTAGCTAACACATTGACCTCTCTAAGAACATGTCTACAACTCACAAGAGGAATCTTCTGCGCCATGCTAACTACTTTATTGCAAAGGGCATAGCAAACATGATTCCTATTGCACCTTTCATTTAAGAATTGAATCACAATGGCCAAATTTGACTCCACATATATATCCTTAAGAATACTTTTATCCATTACAAGCTTAAGCCTATAATAGAATAACCTTGTCCCTTTATATCATCTATATAAAGAACATACAAAGAAAAACATTAATTATAAGCTCAATTAAAAAGACATTTTCCTTATGTGTAATAAACTTATAAAAATTCTAAAAAAATACTCCTCAATTTTTGTTGAAGAATTCAAAGTATCCGCACGTCTCAAAATAAAAGTCATTTTCTATTTGTTCTAGTAAGAAGCACTCCTATCGTCCGTCCTGCTGACTGGTCTTCAAGATCCTGAGTGTTGACCAAGTCTTGACTCCGAGTGGGGGAAGGGTACCTGTAAAGGGACTCCGACGCTCAAGTGAGTATTCAGTACAAAGCAATAAAGGCTATTGTATTAAATGATCATACTTGTCCCATTAATCCCATCAATGTTGTATTTATAGTGACATTTTTGGGCCTGATGGGCCTTCTATGTTATTAGGCTGATATGTTGGGTTTTATCTCTTAATTACTGCTAACGTAGGTTGTTCATCATAATTAATGTACCTTTTATTATCCAGTGGTTCAGTGTTTGTTATGGCCGAGTACCTGTTCGAGTTACTCTTTCGTCGAAGGGGGTACTCAGCCTTCCTAACTCTCGAGTACTGGTAATCATCCTTACTCGGGTAAGGATGAAGTCGAAGTGGTGTTCTGGAGATACTTTGGGTTTTCATGTGGCCCTTCTCAAAGGCTAAAGAGTCGTTCACCCGTCCATTCTCCACTCTTCGGTTGCCTTGGGAAGTGTTCGGTTGTATTGGAGGCCAAAGGGGGTGTTCGGTTGTGTTGGGGGCCGAAGGGGGTTTCCAATTGTGTTGGAGGCCAAAGGGGGTGTTCGGGCTTACTGGTACACTATTAATGACTTATATCAAGAGTACGATGAAGGATAACATAAAATTATTTTGATTCCTTAACTTTCTTTCTTGATATTTTTTATTTGGAAGGCTAACAATTCTATAAGTTCATTTTGTACAATATTGCTTAAGTAATGAACACAAATTCCACCGTTTTTTTTTGCACTTAACATGTTCTTGCACAATTGGATCAAATTATGCTAACATTTCAACTAAACCTAAAAGATTACCATTTTTTTCATATCTCTTCTCATTTGTTCCACGAAAAAGCAAAATTATTTTAAGATAAAATGTTTGACTTTAATTATAATTCCAAGTAAAACTTTTTTTCAACGTTCTTTTTCTTTATTAATTTGTTCTTTTAGGCTCTTATCAATTTTTTTTTTCTTAATCTACTTTCTAGTTCAATCCATTTAGTCAAATTAGTGATATATTCATGACTAATTTCATGGATTTGAGTTTTAAACTAGGATTTTTCTAATTGCTAGTACCCTCCCCCTCCCCTTCATTTTTTCTTTACTATTTGACTAATATTACTAAAACAAAATAACTTGCAACAAAAATAATATATTTACCTAAATTTCTTAAATAAACTAATCATTTCCTATCATATTTTCTCCATTTGGCAATACTATTTGAATTAAAATGTCTATTATTTTTATATATTGAAAATTGTAATTTGTCTTGTCTAATTGAACCCTTTCTATCTTTAAATCTCTATAGTTTTCATCAATCTTTGTTCATTTTCTCGTATGATAAATACTTTCAAGAACTTCACTTATGCAATATTTGCTCAATATTTATTTCTAATAAACTATTTTCATTTAATATTTTTCTTCTTATTCTTGATATAAATTAGGACAAACAATATTTTCAATGTTATCTATTAGTGATTATTCTATCATGTTTTCATTAATTGAATTTGTTTTTACATATTTTTTTATGAACAGTAACAAATTCATCAAGAGCACCACATAAAGCACATGCCAAGCAATTCAGCTCATCATAAACTCCTAGGATTAAATGTAAACAAGTTCTTCTATTGTCTTCCTCGACTCGACCATTTTCTTTTTCACATCGTCGACATCTTTAGTAATTTCTACAACTTGGTGAGTTCCTTTGAGGCGTGAAATTGAGGGAAGAATCATGCATACTAGATATTCAAATACAACTATAACTAAGAGTTTGGCAGGAAACATTGATACACATCTCATTTGTAGGATTTTGTGATGTAGACAAGGGATTAATCATAAAAATATCAAAAGAAAAATCAAGCAAACAATGATCATTAACTTGTTGATCTTAACTCTCCCTAGACTTTTCTTCCTCTTCGTCTTCAAAAATGACTTTAGACTTAATCTCATTAATTAGTTTTAATCTTGTTACTTTCAACATCAATAATTTGTACGTACTTGACTTGTTTCTTACCTTTCTTTTAAAAAGCATAATCAAAAGAAGGTTGAGTTGATGATAAGGTGGAGGGATGATTTGAGGTTGCTCAACTTAAGGGATTTAGGTTCCTCCTTGGGTGTTAAAAAGGTTGTTAATGTGGGATAGGAGTGTCATTTTTTGAGGTCTTAATAGTTACAAGTAACAAAATTTTGAGTAGGGGTGGGTAGATGGTCCCAAGTTTGTAAGCCAATTCGTAAATTTGTGAACTTCGTGGATAATGGATCCATCTTTTTCAAACCTATAAAATTATGTTTAATTTTTGAGTCTAGTTCATAAAGTCCACGAATTTGGAGAACTTAATTTGTGGCCTCACAGGCTAGTCCACAAAACTCCACAAATTAACTTTTCACATATTAAGACTTTAATATTTAATTGTGTATTTGAACTTTTAAATTAGTATGATATTAAAACTATGCTTAGTTGATATTTATTTACCATTTAAATTATTTTTAAGATATTTTGGGGTAATAACCAAAAGTAAAACCATGAGGGCATCATTGTGGAGTATGTTTATGTAATAACCTTATAAAAATAATAACCCCATCAGTGGTATCAGAGCCGCAGGTTGGATTTGATAAAGACAGATTCCGCTGTATGAAAGGTTATGTTTCGATAAACTTTCAAAAACTAAGATATTAAAATAAGAAGGAAAAATGAGATGAACTTCGTAAACTAAAATTAGCTTATGTATAAGCTAATTTGTAGAATCTATCACATTAGCTTCTCCAAAAGCTTATTTTTAACTTATACATAAGCCAGTTTTACCTAATAAAGAAGCTTAATTATTTCAATTTTTCTCCTAAAAGTGCTTCGGTCGAAGTTTATCCAACCAGACCCTTATGCTTAATCTGATCTTTTTTTGTATTCTATATCCAATGAAGAAATATGTTTTGGCAAACAAACAACTAGTAGTCACGCTACCTAGAACATTTCTTCCCCTCCCAACATCCAAACATAGGAAGCTAGACAAATTAGGAAAACTACGCAGCAACATATTAACATATACAAGACGCACCACCATTATTACAAACCATGAAAATAAATTCGTGGCACACGCGCAATTTATCCATCAACACATTTTTCCCACACTAACAACGATTTTTACCAGAGAAAAAAGTTAGTTAGGCAGGCGTGGATTAAAAAAGGAAAGAAATAAAGAAAGTACCGGTAAAAGCAATGAAATGAGGATTCTCGGCCTGAATGATGCGCTTCAAAAAGCGAGTTGTGTTAAGATCGGAGCAAAACTCGAACTCAGAGGCCAACACGTCCCTGCAGCGAGTCATGGTTCCGGTGCCATAGTGCATATCAGCCACCTGCCACGTGGACACCGAGAATTTTCAACTGTTGAATTAACTCCATAATTTTGGTGCAGAGAGAGAGAGAGAGAGAGAGAGAGAGAGAAGTACCTGGAGGATCTTGAAGGTACCGTCGGAACGGAAGCGTAGGGGAAGGTCGGAGATCTTCTTGATGCGCACCGTTTCGTTGCGGAGGAAGAGGTTGCGATGCGTGAGGTGAAGAAGTGCGAGGAGGAAGGTGAGGTAGAGGAAAGACTGTTTCACGTTCTGTGAATCCATCGTCACCTTTCCTTTCTCGTAGATCGGACTTCGTCGTCGTTAACAACTGCTTCTTTCTTCTTCCGCCATCTCTCCATGTTTCCGTCGTGGGCCTCGCTTCTTGGGCTTTTCATTTTTTTTTTCTTGCAACTCATTTCCAGAAAATAATACATGGACACTATGCTAATTTATTTATTTTTTTATAGTTTAATTAGAGTAAGATATGATTTAACCTCAAGCGTGTGGTTCAGCGGTAGGTTGATCTACGCTTAAGCAAGGTCAGGAGTTCAAATCCTACCTTGTGTATGCCTATCCGCCGATAACCATGGATACTCTAGAGATGAACCAAAAAAAAAAGTAAGATAGGAGAGATTAGAGAAGTCAAATTTCTAATTAATAGAAATAAAAGGATTTAACTAACTATATAATTCTTATTGATCTACTTTGTACTAGACAAAAAAAAAAAAAAA